ATGGCACAACGAAGATTTTCGCACCGAAATTATGTATCTGTAGGTCGATCTTGTGGTAAATATTTGGTCCACACGTGCTGATAGAATCATGGATCTCGAGCCGTTTGATTAATAAATGGAACATGAAAAAAGGTTCCTTAGAGTTAATTTTATGTCTTAGGTTTTCTCACCAAGTATGTTTTTTTTGCAATCCGGCAGTTTTTTCAAGAGTGTAATTGAGTCAGTTCTCGCCACAGTCCGCCAGTTGTTGAGTCGCCTCAGTTCCTATGTACAAGTCGTTGCTTTTATACGGTTGGAAGATACCGATATTCTCTGCCCGATCAGCTTTTTTGCCGGAAGTTTGGCTTGCTAGTGGTGCAAAATGTTCCTCTGTAGAGGGGCGGTACAGTTAATCGCCGTGATCTTTATGGACGTTCATTGGATCTCAGCCGGTTTGGTCTTCAGTAAAACTGTACTTTATTGCAATTCATAAGGATAGCTTGCTTGGCTTTAGTTTTCCTTTTCTTATGGGCGACGTTTTTAAGTGAAGCTTTCTTGAAGAGATTACCTAAAACCCTTCATTGCTCTGTAACCGGCTGGGTATGCGCGAAATCTAGTTNCAAGAGTGTAATTGAGTCAGTTCTCCCCACAGTCCGCCAGTTGTTGAGTCGCCTCAGTTCCTATGTACAAGTCGTTGCTTTCATACTGCTGGAAGATACCGATATTCTCTGCCCGATCAGTTCTTTTGCCGGAAGTTTGGCTTGCTAGTGGTACAAAATTTTACTCTGTAGAAGGGCGTTACAGTTAATCGCCGTGATCTTTATGGACGTTCATTGGATCTCAGCTGGTTTGGTCTTCAGTGAAAATATACTTTACTGGAACTCATAAGGATAGCTTGCTCGGTTTTAGTTTTCCTTCTCTTATGGGCGACGTTTTTAAGTGAAGCTTTCTTGAAGAGATTATCTAAAACCCTTCATTGCTCTGTAACCGGCTGGGTATGCGCGAAATCTAGTTACGTTAAGAAGCGTTCAGCGATCTTGATGATGCACAACTCATGCTAGTGAACTAATTTCGCAAGGAATGTGTTCTACTGTGAAATGAAATGCCGAAAATTTTGATATGGTACCTTGCATACAATGTGTACGATCTCCTACATGAAATATGTAAGACTTCGAAACCTATAAAACCTATAAACAAAACCGGTAAACAAATCATTTTTAAAATTATAACCAGTTATACCTGCTCAGAAACTGAAATTTCTTGGGTAAGGATATACAAGATCTAGTGCGCGACTGATTTTCCGGGAATTCGATCGACGTTTTGAAACGTTTCTCAGAAGAAAATGAACGGCTTCAAAAAGATTATAAAGAATTTCTAAAGTAAAAATAAAAGAAACAACCAGAATTCATGTAATCGTGTAAATCTATGTATGAGTATGCAGGCATTTCTTCCAGCCACAAAACTGTTGACCAAATAAACAGTGCACGTTGAACTTAAGTCACTAAACAGTTAAACAACGAAACCAAACAATTGTGACAGTTGTTTAACGATCTTGAATGGTCACCCCTTAAATTAAGACGGAAATGTCACCGC